CCCGGCACGCACCAGATGGCACTTCGTCCTTCCTCTGTTCCACAGCGTGTCCCTCTGCCGTCTCCTCCTGTGTCCTCTCTTCCTGACGTTCCTAACCCGCCGTCAGACCTTGCTCGTGCTGCCAGTCCTACTGTCACACGTCTTCTAGCCCCTGTTGTCACTGACCCTTCGTTTGAGTCCACTGCTGCGTCTGCCCTAGTTGCTGAGCTTGTTGACTTTGCTGCCGCCTGTCGCCTCGACTACGCCGCTAGTCTTGTTGCTGAGTCTGAGTCTGTCGGCTTTCCATCCGTCGGGGGTGAGTGTGCTCTTGGCACGGACATCCTTGAGGACAGGCAGGAGGACTTTGAGTGTTTCGAGGCTGCTGTACCTCATCTCGTGTCCATGCTGATTGCACCCGAGGGAGACCCGGATGCACCAGACATCCCGACCCCGCGCTCTTACGCAGAGGCGATTGAGGGTCCCTACTCCTCTCAGTGGCAGACAGCCATGGCCGCAGAGATGGCATCCTGGAAGTCCACAGGCACTTACGTCGACGAGGTTCCCCCTCCTGGGGCGAACATAGTCGATGGCATGTGGATTTTCAGGGTGAAACGGCCGCCGGGTTCTCCGCCTGTCTTCAAGGCGCGTTACGTTGCTCGAGGCTTCAGTTAGCGACAGGGAGTTGACTTCTTCCATACCTTCTCCCTACCCCGAAGATGACCACTCTTCGGGTGCTGCTGCACATCGCCGCTCAGCGTGACTACGAGCTTCACTCTCTTGACTTCAGCACAGCCTTCCTACAGGGCAGCCTGCACGAGGAGATCTGGTTGCGCCGCCCACCTGGCTTCACTGGGTCGTTTCCTGCAGGTACCCAGTGGAGCCTCCGGCGGCCAGTCTACGGTCTCCGCCATGCGCCTCGCGAGTGGCACGACACACTGAGGACGACGCTTGCGGCTCTTGGGTTTGCTCCTTCGACTGCTGACCCGTCGCTGTTTCTACGCACCGACACTTCGCTGCCGCCGTTCTACATCCTCGTGTACGTCGACGACTTGGTCTTTGCCACTGCTGACACTGAGGGACTGGCCCTCGTGAAGTCGGAGCTGCAGAAGAGACACACGTGCACAGACCTGGGTGAGATGCGCAGCTATCTTGGCTTGCAGATCACCCGGGACAGAGCACGGCGCACCATTACCTTGACTCAGTCACACATGGTGCAGCAAGTCCTTCAGCGCTTCCGCTTCACGTACTCCTCGCCACAGTCCACTCCTCTGCCTACCGGTCACTCGCTCTCAGCTCCACCTTCGGACGAGTCCGTAGAGCCGAGTGGCTCGTATCCAGATCTTGTGGGCTGCCTCATATATCTGATGACCTGCACTCGACCTGACCTTGCCTACCCTCTTAGCATCCTGGCACGCTACGTTGCGCCCGGGAGACACCAACCAGAGCACTGGGAGGTCGCTAAGAGGGTGTTGCGCTACTTGTGCAATACGTCGGGCATGGGGCTCGTGCTTGGAGGACGGGCTCGAGTTGTCCTCACTGGTCACGCAGACGCTTCTTGGGTTGACGACTTGGCTACGCAGCAGTCGTCACAGGGTTACACTTTCAGCCTTGGCTCCGGCTCTGTTTCTTGGCGGTCTACCCGCTCGTCTTCTGTTCTCAGTTCCAGTTGTGAGGCTGAGATCTACGCAGGGGCCATGGCTGCACAGGAGTTACGCTGGCTCACCTACCTGCTGACCGACTTGGGAGAGCCGCCTTGTTCTCCTCCAGTTCTGTACGTCGACAACAAGGCCATGATTGCCTTGTGTCAGGAGCACAGACTGGAGCACAGGACGAAGCACATCGCTCTGCGTTACTTCCTTGCTCGAGAGTTGCAGCAGCGTGGTCAGCTTCGTCTTGCTTACGTGGCCTCTCGGGCCAACACTGCTGATATCTTCACCAAGGCTCTTCATCCTTGTGATCATCAGCGTTTCTGTACTGTTCTAGGCCTTGTGCCTACTTGGCCTCACTTCCCACTTCTTGACTTTGCTTGTACTGTGATCTATATACATATACCTGCATGCTTACACTTGCTAGGTTTTGATCACTGTGCTGTTTGTTCTCCATTATATAACTCTGCATGTGAACTGGCCTTGTGGCCATTTGCTTGTGCTCAGAGTGTGTGGTGACTTCGTAATCCACCCTGAGCTTGCTTTGCTTTTCTTGACTGGTCTTGTGACCTCTTGTTCTCCCCCACTTTGCCTATGGGGGTGTGTCAAACTTATGTGTTGCATGTTGTGTAGGCTGTAGCGGGGTAGCCCATATAGGGTACAACCCAATTAGGGTTAGTACTTGTACCCACCTTGCTGCTAGTTCATCCATTCCTGTTCGTTCATTTCTGACAAGAACAAGGTACGACATTTAAGGCGCCTCCATACTTGCATCCTCGTTTACAAACATCCGCATCCTGTGATCGTGACAGTATTGAGACCAGATATGGGAGAACGAGAGTAGGGTTTTAAATCGAGGAATGGCCGTGTCTTGCAGTGTGTGTTGTTTTCAATCGAACCGTATCTGTCAGAGACCCACTCCCTTGCAGCGCCTACCTGTTTGCATGTATCGACTGTCGACCAGACAGATCGCACCTCACAGCATACACGACTTATCCACCCTTAAGAACGAAGTTGAGAATATCGGCAATGCATGACTCTGCTGCATTTTAAAGCATGCATGCATGCATCACCTGCCCTCGGGGATGGCATTGAAAATCCTTACCACATCACAGGATGGGGAGCAGATGGGGCCATAGGCATGCAGGGAATACATGCACGGCTCACCTCGTAGAGCAAGCAGCTCACTTTGCTGCACTGCTCACTTTGCTGTACGGCTCACTTTGCTGCACTGCTCACTTTGCTGCACTGCTCACATTGCTGCACATCTCACTTTGCTGCACGGCTCACTTTGCTGCACTGCTCACTTTGCTGCACGGCTCACTTTGCTGCACGGCTCACTTTGCTGCAAGACAAGCACAACTCACCTGCCCTTGGGGATGGAGACGACGTCGTAGGAGAGCAAGTAGATAGCACCCGATGCATACAGGTGATACTCCGACCCCAGCAGCCATGCCTGGGGCTCAAACCTGCACATCAGAGCAAACCACAAAGATCGTTTCGTTTTAGGCGCCGCAAGGGAGGCATACAGGTGATACTCCGACCCCAGCAGCCATGCCTGGGGCTCAACCTGCGAGGAGCAAAACACAGGAAGAAAGGCGGGAAGGAAGAAGGTGAGCAGGTAGAGGGCAGGAATGAGTACGAGAAGAGCAGGGAGCAGGTGAGAACGAGAAGAGCAGGGAGCAGGTGAGAATGAGAAGAGCAGGGAGCAGGTGAGAACGAGAAGAGCAGGGAGCAGGTGAGAACGAGAAGAGCAGGGAGCAGGTGAGAACGAGAATAGCAGGGAGTAGGTGACGATTAAGTTGTTTTGAGACGTCTCAAAACTCGATTAAGTTGTTGCATTGTTGTCGAAAACAGCCGGAGAGGTTGCCTGAGTTGACGGCAATATTAAACACTAGAAATATCAGACTACTTTAGAGACTGAGTACACTGCATGCTGCATGGACTAAGAAAGCTGCCAAAAGGAGTGCCAGAGAGCGTGATCTAGGTGTAATATGGCAACTCACCACCTCTTCTTGGGGTCAGTAATCACATTTCCCTTTTTGAAGCATCCAAGGTACGTTCGAGGTGACGCCCTTGGCTTGGCGATCAGGGCAGAGAGGCGCTCTGCGGGGACACACGAAAACAGGCAGCCGAGGGTGGGAATAGTGAGAGCAAGGAATCTCGGTGTCCTCATATAAACATGTTACACTATAGCATAGCTGTGTTACAATCGTGCTAGTGTAACACCCCAATCCGGGTGTACACTTTGGCCCAAGGCGCCCCAACCAATTTTGGTCGGGTGCGCCACAAACCCCGTCGACCGCAATAAATGACGGTCGGCCCAAAGCATTCTTTAGTAACCATTCTCATTTGTCCACCAATAATGCCTTGGGTACTTCACCAAATTCCCTCAAGTTTATCTCTTATTATATGTACCTATGTTCGAACCAAGACTTAAAGCTTCTAAGAAAGCAGACAGCAACATGTGATCACACGGAAAGCCTCATCCTCTTCTTCACAGAAAGATTTTGCCACGCACGCGCACACACGCACCCGCACTCGCACGTGCACGCGCGCGTGCGCGCGCGCGCACACACACACACACACGCACTCACACGCACACACACTCACATGCACACACGCACACACACACACACACACACTCACTCACACCCTCACACACACACACACTCTCACACACCCACACACACACACACACACACACACACACACACGCACGCACGCACGCACGCATGCACGCACGCACGCACGCACGCACGCACACGCACACGCACACGCGCGCACACACACACACACACACACACACATACACACACACACACACACACACAGCAGGCACCCCTCCCTCCATCTGGCTGATTTCAAACCCCGTTTCATTGTGCTTGGGTTTGGGACGTCTTAAAAACCCCGGATTCACAGAGCCCGAGGAGTTCTAAGATGGGCTCACCTGGCATCAAGAAGATGTCGTCGTCTATTTTGACGTAGAACTTGGCTTCATAGAGCTTGAAGGCCGCTGTGAAGAACAGCAGACTGTGGGACAGGGATCGGAGATTATGAGTGCAGGTGGAGAGACAGGAGTGAGTGGAGTTTGAATGGCTGGTTGGTAGCAAAGAAGGTACTCACGTTTGTTGTTCTACTTTTCTATTACTGCTCTACCTCTAGATACAGAATATATTACCAAGCAGATACCAATGCAGCAGAGAATTGTAGGCAGCGGGGATGAACGAAAAGAAACTCTAGGATGAGCAGAGTGGGAAGTGCATTAGGTACATGGAAGGCATGAAGAAAGCAGCTGCAGATTCAGATGCAGCAGCACGTGAAGATAAAGCACCTCGTAATGCCGTCACGCGAGCACCTCACACCACGAGCCCCTTACATCTTGTGGTTGAGATTGAGGTACGATTCTTGCACATCAACACGAAAGAAGTCCCCATGAGTGCTGTTCTCCGCCTGCAGCATCTGCTCGTCCTCCGCGCTGCCGTGCCCAACTATGAACCGAAACACCAGCCCCGTTGCTGCCTCCACCCTGGAGAGTATGTGAGAACGGGGAGGGGGGAGGGGTGCAGAGAGAGAGGGAGGGCACAACTCATGTCAACCGGGACACCATGCCTGTTGCTGGAATACCTTTAACGGAGAAGAAGGGCCGGGGGAAGGTGCCGACAGGGCACATCACATCCCATCCCAGCACACACCATCGCAACCCGTCGCACCCCACAACAACCCACCATACCGCACTCCACCGCAATGCACCGTAATGCACCGGAATGCACTCCACCGTACCCGACTGCACCTCCGCACCCGACAATACCGCACCACACCGCACCCAACCGTAACCCACCGCACCCACCACAGCCCATGCACCCCAGCGCACCATATTGCACCACGCCGCACCCCACCACATCGCACCGCACCCCACCGCACTGCACCGCAACGCACCCCACCGCACCCGACCGCACTACCGCAGCGCACCCCACCGCACCCCAACACGCCCCACCGTACCCCAACGCACCCCCCCTCGGCCCCCCACCCCATCCCATCTCATCCCATCCCATCGCATCGCATCGCATCCCATCCCATCCCATCCCATCCCATCCCATCCCATCCCATCCCATCCCATCCCATCCCATCCCACCACCACCACGGATGATGGCCTACCGCGCGTGCTCCTCGGGCGTGCCGGGGAACCACGTCTCGCGAAGCAGCTCGCGCCTCTTGCTGCTGCGGCCGAAACCGGTCAATACCCCGACGAACCCCGACACGCGTTTCCTGCCCGGATACCGCAACCGATCTGCACTCCTCTCGTCCATCCCTGGCGATTCCGTCAACGTTCCGACCGCCGGTGCGGTCGCTGCGGCAACAGGCTGTAGCGCGGATTCATTTTGTGTCACTGTCACTCTAACCGGCTGTAGCTCGGCGTTTTCACTCGTCGCGGTCGCTGCGGCAACTGGCTGTAACTCGGCGGGTTCGTTCGTCGCGGTGGTTGCGGCAAACGCCGGCTGTAACTCGGCAGACTCATTCGTAGCAGTCGCTTCGCCAACCGGCTGTAACTCGGCGAAATTATTCGTCGCGGTCGCTGCAGCAACCGGCGGTTTCAACACAGCGAGTTCATTCCTCACGGTCGCTGCGACAAGCGACTGTAGTACCAACTGGGAAGTACTCGTCCTATGATCGTATCTAAAGAACGAGGATGTCTAAAAGGAGGAAGAAGAGGACGGCTAGTTGGAGCAGGAAGAGGGACCAAGACACGCGCCATGACGTCAGCACTTGCGGCTCGACGGACGTCTTACACTCGAAGCCCATCAGCTGGTAGGAAATCCAATGACCCTGACCCTTTGATGCAGTATTCTCTCTGGTAGAGACGTCTACTAGACGTCCGTCGAATGGCAATGAAAGGCTCGACCTTTGAGAGACTTTCTTGAATCGTTCGCGAATACTGTGTCTTGAAGTTTGAGGCGCCTCAACAACCATCAGCGGGTGAGGTCCTTACTGCATTGCAATGCATCTTGCAATGCATCTTGCAATGCTAGTACTCCATGGCAGGACCAGCGCCGCCGCCGGCAGTTTGGGATCGTCTCTGGGAATGGGAAGGAGACGAAAATATCGGTCCCGAGCAGCCATGGCATGATTCTGAGGAGCACGTGACGTTGACGTGAACCAGCCATGATTCAGCCATTGCTGCCACCACCTCTCCCATCCCATCCCAATGCTCCATCACCTTCACCAGCAAGTCTCCCCTCCCCACCAACCCGGCCAACGCCGGGCTTCCCGGGCCGTTCGGCATCGACATCGATGGACGCCTGTCAACTGACTGCGGGCAGAAACGAATCTAAAGTAGGATCAGGATGGGATAACACTCGCAGTGACCGTGTTTTGGGTGGATCCCTCCCGAGGCGCGTGCCACCGGGATGAGGGAAGCTGACGGAATGTCCAGTGGTTCTGACGGCTTGACTAACCTTGCCCAAGAGATGCCATCATCCCATAGTATACCTGTCCTCCGACAATTTCACGGGGTGAAATTCCCGAATCGCGTGAACGATTGCCTGAGAGGGCGTGAAATTACACAGAGCAATAGAGTCCCCATGACTGGGCTGGTTCCCTTCACTGTGAAGAGCCGAGGGAAGGGTAGGACCGAATGGTGCTCTCTTTGCTGGGAATGCCTGCTGACACCGTATCCCACCACGCAAGATTGTTTCTAAGACAACCCAAAACGCATCCCACCACGTCTTCACCTATGCGGGCGGGCACGATTGTTACCCTTTTCCACTTCCACCACCACGCCCAAATTCCAAGGATGCGGTATAGGATAACGCGATGATAGTACGGTATTGTAGAAGGTAATCTACTAGTTGGAAAAAAATATGAATTGCCTTGATTGAGGTAAAACCTCAATTGCCTATATTTGTAAAAATGGCACCCAGGTTGTGTTGATAAGCCAGCAAAGCTTAAAGAGCCTACGTACCAGCCATTGCTTGTGTAATTTAGGCTTACAGTACCAGGCTACATATATCAAGTTTTTAGGCAGTGGTTGTTGCACTTGGTGTACTCTTGCAATGACTTGTCCCACAAGCTTATGCATACAAATGTCGTGCGACTTCAAAGGGGTGGGGGGGGGGGGGGGGGGGGGGGGGGGGGAGGGCAGGGAAGGGATGCTGATGGATGGGCATGCTGCATCGCCGACGCACACATCCTAACCGACGCAATGAACGCGTCTGTCCGCCTCAACAACCGCATTTTAGTGTTAGGTACTGGTGATATGTCATGTTGTGCCTGTATCTATGTCTGGGCCTGGGCGGTGAGAGCTGAGATTTCCGCGCGGAGGGAATGAGCGATTTCCTCTGTGCTGGCAGTGGCTGCTGCTGCGACCGCATCCCACCACGCCTTCACCTGCGGCGTTGCTACATCTGTGCCTGTGCTTGTGCTTGAGTGAGTGCTGAGATCTCTGAGCGGAGGGACTGGATGTTTTTCTCTGTACTGGCAGTGGCTGCTGCCACCGCACCCCACCACTCTTCACCTGAGGTGTGGCTGCACCAGTGCCTGAGTCAGTGCAGAGATTTCCGCACGGAGGGAACGAATGCTGTCCTCCGTGCTGGCAGTCGCTGCTGCCACCGCACCCCACCACTCCTTCACCTGCGGCGTGGCTGTGCCGGCTGTGTCAGTGGCTGCCTCGTGAAGAGATGGTGCTGTTGCCTGCACCACCTGCAGCCCTGCCAGGATCTGTGTGTGCATGTGTGTGTGTGTTGGGGGAGGGGGGTAAAAGGGGGTAAGCGGGGTGTTTGTGTGTGTGTGTGTGTGTGTGTGTGTGTCCAGGTGAGTGTGAGTGTGCGCGCGTGTGTGTGTGTATGAGTATGCATGTGAGTGGGTGTGAGTATGTGTGAGGGAAGCCGGCGAGAAGGAGGATGATGAAAACTCAGACTCTCAGGTGTGATAACAGTAGCAACAATACACGTCGACAACAGCAGAGAGCAGCTTGTGCCTGCCAGAGGGTAGGAGTGAGCTTTTGAGTCGACTCAGCTTTTGAGTCGACTCAACTTCTGAGTCGACTCAAAAACAGTAGCAGCAGTGCACGTCGATAACAGCAGAGAGCTGCTAGTGCCTGGCAGAGGGTAGGAGTGAGTCGCCGTCGCTGGGTTGCAAGGGATTGAAAGGGTTGGCATGGAGCAGACAACCCACACGATCACGACAGAGTGAGTGAGGGAGGGAGGGAGTGATGGAGTGAGTGAGTGAGTGAGTGAGTGGGTGAGTGAGTGAGGGAGGGAATAAGTGAGAGGGTGACCTTGAGGAGAGCGGAGTGCTGCGAGTGCACAGCAGACGCTCGAGGGCCGATCTTGATGGGGCGAAGAGGGGGGTTGCGCTGCATCCAGGGGATTAGGTCCTGGGGGGATAGGGGGACGGGGGGGATAGGGGGACGGGGGGGATAGGGGGACGTGGGGGGATAGGGGGACGTGGGGGGATAGGGGGACGTGGGGGGATATTTTGAGGCGCCTCAAAATACACCTCACTGCATCTTGATGGGGCGAGGCGGGGGGTTGCGCTGCATCCAGGGCAGCAGGTCCTGGGGGGGTAGGGGGACGAGGGGGGATAGGGGGATGGTTGGTAGGATGGTTGGTAGGATGGTTGGTAGGATGGTTGGTAGGATGGTTGGTAGGATGGTTGGTAGGATGGTTGGTAGGATGGTTGGTAGGATGGTTGGTAGGATGGTTGGTAGGATGGTTGGTAGGATGGTTGGTAGGATGGTTGGTAGGATGGTTGGTAGGATGGTTGGTAGGATGGTTGGTAGGATGGTTGGTAGGATGGTTGGTAGGATGGTTGGTAGGATGGTTGGTAGGATGGTTGGTAGGATGGTTGGTAGGATGGTTGGTAGGATGGTTGGTAGGATGGTTGGTTAGGATGGTTGGTAGGATGGTTGGTAGGATGGTTGGTAGGATGGTTGGTAGGATGGTTGGTAGGATGGTTGGTAGGATGGTTGGTAGGATGGTTGGTAGGATGGTTGGTAGGATGGTTGGTAGGATGGTTGGTAGGATGGTTGGTAGGATGGTTGGTAGGATGGTTGGTAGGATGGTTGGTAGGATGGTTGGTAGGATGGTTGGTAGGATGGTTGGTAGGATGGTTGGTAGGATGGTTGGTAGGATGGTTGGTAGGATGGTTGGTAGGATGGTTGGTAGGATGGTTGGTAGGATGGTTGGTAGGATGGTTGGTAGGATGGTTGGTAGGATGGTTGGTAGGATGGTTGGTAGGATGGTTGGTAGGATGGTTGGTAGGATGGTTGGTAGGATGGTTGGTAGGATGGTTGGTAGGATGGTTGGTAGGATGGTTGGTAGGATGGTTGGTAGGATGGTTGGTAGGATGGTTGGTAGGATGGTTGGTAGGATGGTTGGTAGGATGGTTGGTAGGATGGTTGGTAGGATGGTTGGTAGGATGGTTGGTAGGATGGTTGGTAGGATGGTTGGTAGGATGGTTGGTAGGATGGTTGGTAGGATGGTTGGTAGGATGGTTGGTAGGATGGTTGGTAGGATGGTTGGTAGGATGGTTGGTAGGATGGTTGGTAGGATGGTTGGTAGGATGGTTGGTAGGATGGTTGGTAGGATGGTTGGTAGGATGGTTGGTAGGATGGTTGGTAGGATGGTTGGTAGGATGGTTGGTAGGATGGTTGGTAGGATGGTTGGTAGGATGGTTGGTAGGATGGTTGGTAGGATGGTTGGTAGGATGGTTGGTAGGATGGTTGGTTGGTAGGATGGTTGGTAGGATGGTTGGTAGGATGGTTGGTAGGATGGTTGGTAGGATGGTTGGTAGGATGGTTGGTAGGATGGTTGGTAGGATGGTTGGTAGGATGGTTGGTAGGATGGTTGGTAGGATGGTTGGTAGGATGGTTGGTTGGTAGGATGGTTGGTTGGTAGGATGGTTGGTTGGTAGGATGGTTGGTAGGATGGTTGGTTGGTAGGATGGTTGGTTGGTAGGATGGTTGGTTGGTAGGATGGTTGGTAGGATGGTTGGTTGGTAGGATGGTTGGTTGGTAGGATGGTTGGTTGGTAGGATGGTTGGTTGGTAGGATGGTTGGTAGGATGGTTGGTTGGTAGGATGGTTGGTTGGTAGGATGGTTGGTTGGTAGGATGGTTGGTTGGTAGGATGGTTGGTTGGTAGGATGGTTGGTTGGTAGGATGGTTGGTTGGTAGGATGGTTGGTTGGTAGGATGGTTGGTTGGTAGGATGGTTGGTTGGTAGGATGGTTGGTTGGTAGGATGGTTGGTTGGTAGGATGGTTGGTTGGTAGGATGGTTGGTTGGTAGGATGGTTGGTTGGTAGGATGGTTGGTTGGTAGGATGGTTGGTTGGTAGGATGGTTGGTTGGTAGGATGGTTGGTTGGTAGGATGGTTGGTTGGTAGGATGGTTGGTTGGTAGGATGGTTGGTTGGTAGGATGGTTGGTTGGTAGGATGGTTGGTTGGTAGGATGGTTGGTTGGTAGGATGGTTGGTTGGTAGGATGGTTGGTTGGTAGGATGGTTGGTTGGTAGGATGGTTGGTAGGATGGTTGGTAGGATGGTTGGTAGGATGGTTGGTAGGATGGTTGGTAGGATGGTTGGTAGGATGGTTGGTAGGATGGTTGGTAGGATGGTTGGTAGGATGGTTGGTAGGATGGTTGGTAGGATGGTTGGTAGGATGGTTGGTAGGATGGTTGGTAGGATGGTTGGTAGGATGGTTGGTAGGATGGTTGGTAGGATGGTTGGTAGGATGGTTGGTAGGATGGTTGGTAGGATGGTTGGTAGGATGGTTGGTAGGATGGTTGGTAGGATGGTTGGTAGGATGGTTGGTAGGATGGTTGGTAGGATGGTTGGTAGGATGGTTGGTAGGATGGTTGGTAGGATGGTTGGTAGGATGGTTGGTAGGATGGTTGGTAGGATGGTTGGTAGGATGGTTGGTAGGATGGTTGGTAGGATGGTTGGTAGGATGGTTGGTAGGATGGTTGGTAGGATGGTTGGTAGGATGGTTGGTAGGATGGTTGGTAGGATGGTTGGTAGGATGGTTGGTAGGATGGTTGGTAGGATGGTTGGTAGGATGGTTGGTAGGATGGTTGGTAGGATGGTTGGTAGGATGGTTGGTAGGATGGTTGGTAGGATGGTTGGTAGGATGGTTGGTAGGATGGTGGTAGGATGGTTGGTAGGATGGTTGGTAGGATGGTTGGTAGGATGGTTGGTAGGATGGTTGGTAGGATGGTTGGTAGGATGGTTGGTAGGATGGTTGGTAGGATGGTTGGTAGGATGGTTGGTAGGATGGTTGGTAGGATGGTTGGTAGGATGGTTGGTAGGATGGTTGGTTGGTAGGATGGTTGGTTGGTAGGATGGTTGTTGGTAGGATGGTTGGTAGGATGGTTGGTTGGTAGGATGGTTGGTTGGTAGGATGGTGGTTGGTAGGATGGTGGTTGGTAGGATGGTTGGTTGGTAGGATGGTTGGTTGGTAGGATGGTTGGTTGGTAGGATGGTTGGTTGGTAGGATGGTTGGTTGGTAGGATGGTTGGTTGGTAGGATGGTTGGTTGGTAGGATGGTTGGTTGGTAGGATGGTTGGTTGGTAGGATGGTTGGTTGGTAGGATGGTTGGTTGGTAGGATGGTTGGTTGGTAGGATGGTTGGTTGGTAGGTGGTAGGTAGATGGTTGGTTGGTAGGATGGTTGGTTGGTAGGATGGTTGGTTGGTAGGATGGTTGGTTGGTAGGATGGTTGGTTGGTAGGATGGTTGGTTGGTAGGATGGTTGGTTGGTAGGATGGTTGGTTGGTAGGATGGTTGGTTGGTAGGATGGTTGGTTGGTAGGATGGTTGGTTGGTAGGATGGTTGGTTGGTAGGATGGTTGGTTGGTAGGATGGTTGGTTGGTAGGATGGTTGGTTGGTAGGATGGTTGGTTGGTAGGATGGTTGGTTGGTAGGATGGTTGGTTGGTAGGATGGTTGGTTGGTAGGATGGTTGGTTGGTAGGATGGTTGGTTGGTAGGATGGTTGGTTGGTAGGATGGTTGGTTGGTAGGATGGTTGGTTGGTAGGATGGTTGGTTGGTAGGATGGTTGGTAGGATGGTTGGTAGGATGGTTGGTAGGATGGTTGGTAGGATGGTTGGTAGGATGGTTGGTAGGATGGTTGGTAGGATGGTGGTAGGATGGTTGGTAGGATGGTTGGTAGGATGGTTGGTAGGATGGTTGGTAGGATGGTTGGTAGGATGGTTGGTAGGATGGTTGGTAGGATGGTTGGTAGGATGGTTGGTAGGATGGTTGGTAGGATGGTTGGTAGGATGGTTGGTAGGATGGTTGGTAGGATGGTTGGTAGGATGGTTGGTAGGATGGTTGGTAGGATGGTTGGTAGGATGGTTGGTAGGATGGTTGGTAGGATGGTTGGTAGGATGGTTGGTAGGATGGTTGGTAGGATGGTTGGTAGGATGGTTGGTAGGATGGTTGGTAGGATGGTTGGTAGGATGGTTGGTAGGATGGTTGGTAGGATGGTTGGTAGGATGGTTGGTAGGATGGTTGGTAGGATGGTTGGTAGGATGGTTGGTAGGATGGTTGGTAGGATGGTTGGTAGGATGGTTGGTAGGATGGTTGGTAGGATGGTTGGTAGGATGGTTGGTAGGATGGTTGGTAGGATGGTTGGTAGGATGGTTGGTAGGATGGTTGGTAGGATGGTTGGTAGGATGGTTGGTAGGATGGTTGGTAGGATGGTTGGTAGGATGGTTGGTAGGATGGTTGGTAGGATGGTTGGTAGGATGGTTGGTTAGGATGGTTGGTAGGATGGTTGGTAGGATGGTTGGTAGGATGGTTGGCTAGGATGGTTGGTAGGATGGTTGGTAGGATGGTGGTAGGATGGTTGGTAGGATGGTTGGTAGGATGGTTGGTAGGATGGTTGGTAGGATGGTTGGTAGGATGGTTGGTAGGATGGTTGGTAGGATGGTTGGTTGGTAGGATGGTTGGTAGGATGGTTGGTAGGATGGTTGGTTGGTAGGATGGTTGGTTGGTAGGATGGTTGGTTGGTAGGATGGTTGGTTGGTAGGATGGTTGGTTGGTAGGATGGTTGGTTGGTAGGATGGTTGGTTGGTAGGATGGTTGGTTGGTAGGATGGTTGGTTGTAGGATGGTGGTTGGTAGGATGGTTGGTTGGTAGGATGGTTGGTGGTAGGATGGTTGGTTGGTAGGATGGTTGGTTGGTAGGATGGTTGGTTGGTAGGATGGATGGTTGGTAGGATGGATGGTTGGTAGGATGGATGGTTGGTAGGATGGATGGTAGGTAGGATGGTTGGTTGGTAGGATGGTTGGTTGGTAGGATGGTTGGTTGGTAGGATGGTTGGTTGGTAGGATGGTTGGTTGGTAGGATGGTTGGTTGGTAGGATGGTTGGTTGGTAGGATGGTTGGTTGGTAGGATGGTTGGTTGGTAGGATGGTTGGTTGGTAGGATGGTTGGTTGGTAGGATGGTTGGTTGGTAGGATGGTTGGTTGGTAGGATGGTTGGTTGGTAGGATGGTTGGTTGGTAGGATGGTTGGTTGGTAGGATGGTTGGTTGGTAGGATGGATGGTTGGTAGGATGGATGGTTGGTAGGATGGATGGTTGGTAGGATGGATGGTAGGATGTTCTGCCATCACAAGGCAACAGCCGGCCATGCCACCTGCCTACAGCCCACCTGAGCAGCCAGCAGGATGGTGTCGTCGTGAATCTGCTGCTTGCATGCCTTGCCCATGTATTGCCACATACAATCCCGTTACAACTCACTGTATCTGCTGCTTCTTCTCCCACGGCTCACCTGAGCGGCCAGCAGGATGGTGTCGTCGTGAATCTGCTGCTTCCTCTCCCGCAGCTCCACCAGGCGCTGCCCCGCCTCCTCTATGCCGTTCATGTTGGCCCTGTTGTCCCTGCACCTGCTGGGCAGCATGGGGAAGTGGGGGGGGGGTTGCATTTCATTTCTCACTCGGCTCATAAGTCCCCTGCAGCTCCACCAGGCGCTGCCCCGCCTCCTCTATGCCGTTCATGTTGGCCCTGTTGTCCCTGCACCTGCTGGGCAGCATGGGGGAAGCGGGGGGGTTTGCATTTCTTAGTCAGCTTTGCGACGTCTCAAAGGGGTCTTGCATTTCTCAGTCAGCTCATAAATCTCCCGCAGCTCCACCAGGCGCTGCCCCGCCTCCTCTATGCTGTCTGTCCCACCCCCTGCTGCCGCTGTGCACCATGGGGGGGGGCAGAGGGGTTTACTTCAGAGGCGGCATAGGGGACGGAGGGGTGTGCATTTTTTATGCGCCTCAGAAGCAGCTCCACCAGCCGCTGCCCCGCCTCCTCTATGCCTTCCCCCCTGCTGTCCCCGCTGCTGCTGCTGGGAGGAGGCATGGGGGAAGCGGGAGGAATGCACAGGTTGAGAGATGTCTCGGAACGCAGCTCCACCAGGCGCTGCCCCGCCTCCTCTATGCCGTCCCCCCCCCTGCTGCTGCTGCTGCTGCTGCTGCTGCTGCTGCTGCTGCAGGGGGAAAGCAGGAGGTGCGGGAGGGACGCACAGCAGGCCTTGAGTTGCTTGGGCGAAGAGAGTAAGGGGGAGTGGGAAGGGAGAAAAGTGAAGAGCAGAGATAAAAGAGTGCAGATACAGATGGAAGAATAGGCATGCATACACTTCAGCCACTAATAGCATACAGTAACTCTTTGAGACGTCTTGGGAACCGAACATACCTCTCAGCTCTCACCACCTCTCACCTCTCACTCACCACCTCTCACCTCTCACCACCGACTCGCACCTGGCAGCAGCACCAGCTTTGGCGCGCGTGAGCAGGTCCGGAGAGAAGAGGGGCGGGAAGGACGAGGGTTGCAGCAAAGCAGCTGCTGTCGGCGGTGCATACGAGCCCAATGCGAGCTGGTCCTCCGGCTTGGGAATGGGAGTTGGGAAACGGGAAGGGTTGAGGGAATGAGAGATGAGAAATGGAGGAGCATGGGTTGCCGCAAAGCAGCTGGTGATGGTGGCGCGTACGAGGGCAATGCGAGCTGGGCCGCCGTTAGCCTGGCAGGGCTGCATGTGGGATATGGGGGAATAGAGGAGCACGGGGATACGGGCCATACCTGTTTCACAGACCATACCTGCTTCACCATGCATACCTGCTTCACCATGCATACCTGCTTCACCATGCATACCTGCTTCACCATGCATACCTGCTTCACCATGAATATCTGCTCCGACGGCTATTTAGTTCCTTTTCAAAAGCTAATCAAATTCATCTTGCTTCAAGTAACACCTAACCATGCCATACCTGCTCCTTAGCCTCGCCATATCCATACCTGCTCCTTAGCCTCACGATATCCATACCTGCCCCTTAGCCTAGCCATATCCATACCTGCCCCTTAGCCTCTCCACATCCATACCTGCCCCTTAGCCTCTCCACATCCATACCTGCTCCTTAGCCTCTCCACATCCATACCTGCCCCTTAGCCTCTCCACATCCATACCTGCCCCTTAGCCTCTCCACATCCATACCTGCCCCTTTTCTCTCCACATCCATACCTGCCCCTTAGCCTCTCCACATCCTCCACCTGGCGAGCCACTTCCAGCAGCCATACGGCTCGCTCTGGCACCCCGCCCACTCCCTGGGGGGTGTATGGGGGGTGCGTGGATAGGGGTGCATGGGGAGGGATGCATGGATGGGGCATAGGTGCATGGGGATGCATGGCTGGGGTGATGTTATGTTACGCATGGTCCATGGTGCAGGAGAGCATGGTCTGTAGTTCATGTTGGCTTTTGAGGGACGATGCACATGGCGCATGTGACATGGTGCATGTGACATGGTGCATGTGACATGGTGCATGTGACATGGTGCATGTGACATGGTGCATGTGACATGGTGCATGTGACATGGTGCATGTGACATGGTGCATGTGACATGGTGCATGTGACATGGTGCATGTGACATGGTGCATGTGACATGGTGCATGTGACATGGTGCATGTGACATGGTGCATGTGACATGGTGCATGTGACATGGTGCATGTGACATGGTGCATGTGACATGGTGCATGTGACATGGTGCATGTGACATGGTGCATGTGACATGGTGCATGTGACATGGCGCATGTGACATGGTGCATGTGACATGGTGCATGTGACATGGTGCATGTGACATGGTGCATGTGACATGGTGCATGTGACATGGTGCATGTGACATGGTGCATGTGACATGGTGCATGTGACATGGTGCATGTGACATGGTGCATGTGACATGGTGCATGTGACATGGTGCATGTGACATGGTGCATGTGACATGGTGCATGTGACATGGTGCATGTGACATGGTGCATGTGACATGGTGCATGTGACATGGTGCATGTGACATGGTGCATGTGACATGGTGCATGTGACATGGTGCATGTGACATGGTGCATGTGACATGGTGCATGTGACATGGTGCATGTGACATGGTGCATGTGACATGGTGCATGTGACATGGTGCATGTGACATGGTGCATGTGACATGGTGCATGTGACATGGTGCATGTGACATGGTGCATGTGACATGGTGCATGTGACATGGTGCATGTGACATGGTGCATGTGACATGGTGCATAGCACATGGTGCATAGCACATGGTGCATGTCATATGGTGCATGTCACATGGTGCATGTCACATGGTGCATGTGACATGGTGCATGTGACATGGTGCATGTGACATGGTGCATAGCACATGGTGCAGATGGGATTCCTGGAGCGTGGCTCATGATATGGCAGGCAGGCAGGCAGGGCGTTACGGCGCCGGAAAATAGCTTTTGAGTCGACTCTAAAGTCACGTCATGTGAAATGGCTTTTGAGGCGCCTCAAAAGGCAATGCGTTACGGCGCCGGAAAATAGCTTTTGAGTCGACTCTGAAGTCACGTCATGTGAAATGGTGCAGATTGGATGCCCGAGTGTGGATCATCATATGGCACGCAGGGCGTTACGGTGCCAGAAAAACCATGCCAAAAGAACTCACCAACACCCTCATTCTCGCCCTCACTCTCACTCTCACCCTCACCCTCACCCTCACCCCCACTCTCACCCCCACTCTCACCCCCACTCTCACCCCACTCTCACCCCCACTCTCACCCTCACTCTCACCCCCACTCTCACCCTCACTCTCACCCCCACTCTCACCCCCACTCTCACCCCCACTCTCACCCTCACTCTCACCCTCACCCCCACTCTCACTCTCACCCCCACTCTCACCCCCACTCTCACCCTCACTCTCACCCTCACCCCCACTCTCACTCTCACCGTGGCAGCGTCCTGCCCGTCGTGTTGAGCCAGACCCAGCAGCACAGCCGTGCGGCACACGCCTGGTGGGACGGGTGGTGATGGGGAGGGCAGCAAGAGATGAGAATGGGATGGATTTTGAGTCAACTAAAAAACCGTCGTGTTCAGCCAGACCCAGCAGCACGGCCGTGCTACACACACCTGGTGGGATGGCAGCATGGCAGGGAGAGAGATGCATGAGGATGGGATGGGTGAGTGAAGATGGCAGAGTGGCGATAAAAAGTTGGACTAAACACCACCAGAACTATGTGTGGGAGAATGATGAGGTGGCAGCGATGGTGGTGCTACAGATGAAATGTCAAGGCTGGGATGGGATGTGGGCGGGACACACGCTCATGGCGCGGGAGGGCTTTGGGTTGCGCTGACTAGTGAAAGGACAAGAGGCGAACGGGTTATGCAACAGCAAGAAGCTGAGCCCATGTTTTTTGAGAATTCTCAAAAAACAAGGCTGGGATGGGATGTGGCCGGGACACTCGCTCATGGCGCGGGAGGGCTTTGGGTTGCGCTGAGTCGCTGACTAGTGAAAGGACAAGAGGCGAACGGGTTATGCAGCAGCAAGAAGCTGAGCCGACAACTCAGCTTCGCCTCTCCATCATCTGCTCTGCCACGTGTAGGTCACTGATTTGTTTTTACGACATGTGGTACACTTGCTTGTGAGCTGCATGGCATGGCTTACGGCTCTCCACGTTGTTAATTCGTTCAGCCGGCGCTGCACCCCCCTCTCGATTTGTGTGCATCGAGCCCAGAATCCTGTTGCCCGTGTGCACAGCACACGCATGCATGCATGCACACACTCGCACGGGCACACACACACAGGCACACAAACGCACACACAGGCACAGCATGCACACACACGCAGACACAGGCACGGGCAGCAAAACGATTTTGGGAAATCCTACACCCCCTTCGTCTCGATTTGTGGGTACAGGGACCAGTATCCTGTTGCCCCCCTCACACACATGCGCAGGCACGGGAGCAACATAAGATATACACGGGTTTGAGGTAACATATGCATACATACATGCCTGCTATACATGTAGTAAAGTGTGGATGATACGTGGCTGCAGATAAGGGTGCAAAGTCGCATGCAGTTTCAAACTTAGGCCGTCCCTGGTGCAAGTGCTACTAAAGGGTAAAGGTGCTATCTGGTGCAGGTGCTACTTGGTGCAGGTGCTATCTGGTGCACGTGCTATCTGGGACAGGTGCTATTTGGTGCAGGTTCTATCTGGTGCATGTGGTACCTGGTGTATGTGCTATCTGGTGCAGGTGCTACGTGGTGCAACCTGGTGCATGTGCTACTTGGTGCAGGTGCTACCTGGTGAAGGCCCAGTCGAGGAAGTGCAGGCGTTGTTCCGTGTGGTTTAGGAGCAGGTCAACCGCCTCCTGTTGGGATACAGTGCGGTGTAAAAAGGAGGCACGTTGGATAAATCTGCATGTGGTGTACTAACGAGTGCGTAAGAATGAGAGTCTTTGTACGGAGTTGTATGTTATCCCGCAAGTTTGCTCTACGATGCGGTATGACGAAACGACTTTTGAGGCGCCTCAGAATCATGCTACCGCGCAAATGCGCTCTACGATCGGGTACGAAACGGAGGGAGTGAACGCGACATACGAGAGATCGAGCGTTCGCGCCGGCCAAGGAGTAACCGACGTCCTCCAGTCTCGTTGCGACAGCCGTCGCCAAGTCCATGGCTGCGCTTCGGTGCTGCGAAACCCCGTGTGCGAAACCCCGTGGCCACGTGGCCACGGAGAGCGCTTCAACGGAACTGCCAACTGCGTTCCAAGATCGCCTCAAAAGACGAGCGGATCGCGTGAAGTGAAACGCAGAGCACAAGAAAACAGGAATGCAAAAACTCCCTGGAAGGAGGTTATAACACCTCGCTACCCACTGGGTCAAAACGAGGTGTTATACGGTCGTTTGCCTGAAGGAAGTGGCCTACGGGCGTGCCTACGGGCGGGCCGCGCTGCTGCTAGCGGCTTTCTGCTGCTACGGGCCGATCGCGCCTGCTGCTAGCGGATTTAACGAGAGTCGCCCTGCTGCTAGGATCGCGCTGCTGCTAGGACGAATCGCTGGTGTGCTGCTAGGACGAATCGCGCTGCTGCTAGGACGAATCGCTGGTGTGCTGCTAGGACGAATCGCGCTGCTGCTAGGACGAATCACTTTTCTGGAAGGAGGTGGTGGTCGTTGCACGAATTACGTGGAGGAAGGTTTTGCTCAAAAGGAATGCTCCAGTCATATTCGTATCGTGTGTCAGAAGAAAACGAGGTTCGGGTCGGAATGCACACGAAATCCGCCTCAACTCTCCTTATGTGTGTATATTTACTTGTTCAGGAGGGAATAAATTCTGACACTGTATCGAGGCAGTCTGCAGCAGGGAATCGAATTTATTAGCCCGTTGGAGCACAATACTTGACCCGTAGCAATTCGTGTGGCTGAGATTCGTTGTACGACGTGGCGGGAAAATTGGTTGTTCTGACACCATGGGCGACTGCCCCTTTCATCAACTTCTGTGCGACAAGCGTACGACGAGCATTTCGGTTGCGCGACCATCTGGGCATGCGACATCATCGGGTTTCACGATGTCGTTGGCCTTCTTCAAACTAGCGCCAGGAAGTTGGAAAGGCGTGTTTACAAATGAGGCCCAGACGCCGTAGTCAGCCTCAGGTGCTAAACCGTGAACTCGTTCCCGAACACTTTCAGCCGAGCACGTTGCGTTCAGAAAAGCTCTGATTTTCGCAAGAGTCATATTCAACTCACTGGCACGATTTGTCAGCCATAATTTTATTACTGCGACAAGATCGACGAGCTTTGCGAAAGCCGCGTTACTACAATGTAGCCTGGCGCAAGCCCGTTCTCTGCAACAAGCCCTCAAATACTGCTGGGGAGCCCTACCCAAGGCCTCCAAGCAAGCACCCCCACCTCGAGACCACAAGAACTGGCAGCGACTGACTGCGCCATCACAGGACACCAGTCCATGGCCGCTGATGGTTCATGTTGCTCTTCAAAGCGTTTCCTGAGACAATTTAGGCGTTCCTGCCTCCGGCGTTGTAGTCTCTGAAGAGCCTTAGGCCACAATATTCCAGTTTGCAGTCAGTTTAGCCTAAGTTAACTCGTAGCACTTCACCTTACCTGGATCTAACTTTTGGGGGATCAGAGCCAAGCTTCCTTGAGCTATCGCCGTAATAATCGATCTAGCTATTAGTCAACTCCACAGATTATAGTTTCATGGCGGGGTTGTGTATAGCGGGTACGGAAGGCCGGTTCAGAATCCACAGACTTCCAGATGCGAAATGAAGAGAGAAGCCCGACGAACTCGCACGCCTTTCATCCGAAACCACCATCGGCTCACCTTCATTCCTGTCTCCTTTACGCCTCGCATGCGAAAAGCCACGCCTAGTACACAGTCGAAAGTAGTTCCTCTTCCCTTCGAGAAAATGCCTCCTCCCGTCGACCTAGCCTCTCAACCCCGTCCCAGTACCGCAGATGGTCGCCCACGTCCAGGGGGTAATCAGGACTGGTTACCCGCAGATGGAGGGGTACGAGGGGGTAACCAGGAGAAGTTACCCGAGAAAAAGGTTACTCCCAGCCTTATTGTCGCAGATCGAGTTGCTTCTTTCAAGCAATTGGCTGGACAGGACAGGAGCTCTTCTCCCAAACCGTCAGGCTCGACACGGCTCGGAACCGGCGCTGCAGGTTCCACGAGTCCGTTCAGGGCTGGTTCGGCTGAAGCTGGTTCGGCGGACGTTGGTTTAGAAGTGCAGCTCGGGCAGCTGAGAATAAAAAACGCGGACCTGAAGCTGAACGTGGAAAACCTTCAGGCGGAGCTGAAAGCTTCAAAGGAGCAGATCGGGCAGATGACAAAAGAAATTGAGGCGTGGAAAAAGGAGGGAGTTTCGAAAGACAGCGCTGCTGAGATGAAAGCGGAGATTGAAAAGCTAAAGAAGGAATTGGCAGAGAGCAAAGGAGGAGGGAAGGGCGTGGGGGTAGTGGGAGAGAGAGATAAGGAAATGAAGGAGATGGAGGAGAAAATGATGATTATGGAGGTAGAGGTGGGAAAGTATAAATTCGTGCATGACAGTTTAAAAGAGAGGGTAGAAAGGCTGACCAAGGATAACAAGAAACGAATTGCGTCGGAGAAAGAGGCGCTAGATGCTATTGGGAAGGTGAGAGAGGAGAAGGAGGAGGTGGAGAGGAGACTGAGTGAGGTGGAGGCGGAAAGGGACGAGGCGAGGAGGAAGTGTGAGGAGGCGCAGCAGCGGATGGAAGAGGCTGTGAGAGAGAGAGGAGAGGTGGAGGCGAGGAGGGATGAGGATGTAGCTGCTGTGCGGAAGGCTATGGAGGAGGAGAGGCGGAAGGTTGAGGAGGGGAGGAGGAAGGCGGAGGAGGAGAGGGATGGAGTGTTGAAGGAGAAGAGTGAGGTGGAAGGGGAGAAGGAGGTGTTGATGGGGAGGTTGGCGGAGGAAGAGAGGAGGCGAGAGGAGGCGGAGAGGAGGCGAGAGGAGGCGGAGAAAGGGAGGCGAGAGTCGGAGGAGGAAAAGGCACGAGCTGAAGGGGAGAAGGAACAGGCGTGGAAGGAGAGGGAGGAGGCGGATGCAGCTCGGACGGCGGCGGAGGAGGAGAGGGATGAGGCAGTGAGGGCGAAGGAAGAGGCGGAGAGGGAACGAGACGAGGCGACGAGGGCTCGTGAGGCGGCGGAAACTAAGCAAGAAGAGGCGGAGAAGAGGAGTGGCGAGGCAGAGCGATTAAGGGAGGAAGCGGAGGCACAGAGAGGAGAGGCTGAGAAAGAGAGAGGGAAGGCGGAAGAGGAGAAGGAGCAAGCGAAGAAGGAGAGGGAAGAGGCGGAGGCAGCACGGGGAGTGGCGGAGAAAGAGAGGGAAGAGGCAGTAACGGGTAAGGAGGAGGCGGAAAGGGAACGAGAAGAGGCGACGAAGGCACGTGAGGCTGCGGAAACGAAGCAAGAGGAGGCGGAGAAGAGAAGAGACGAGGCAGAGAGATTGTGGGAGGAAGCAGAGGCACGGAGGGAGGAGGCGGAGAGAGAGAGAGGGAAGGCGGAAGCGGAGAAAGAGAAAGCGAAGAAGGAGAGGGAAGAGGCGGAGGCAGCTCGGAAGAAGGCGGAGGAGGAGAGGGATGAGGCTATGAAGGCTAAGGAGGAGGCGGAGAGGGAACGAGACGAGGCGAAGGGGGAACGGGAAGAGGCGAAGAGGGCGCGTGAGGCGGCGGAAAGTAAGCAAGGGGAGGCGGAGAAGAGAAGAGACGAGGCTGAGAGATTAAGGGAGGAAGCAGAGGCACGGAGGGAGGAGGCTGAAATCGAGAGAGGGAAGGCGGAAGAGGAGAAAAATAAAGCGAAGAAGGAGAGGGAAGAGGCGGATGAAGCACGGGGAGTGGCGGAGAGGGAGAGGGATGGGGCAGTAAAGGATAAGGAGGAGGCGGAGAGGGAAAGGGATGAAGCAGTAAAGGTTAAGGAGGAGGCGGAGAGGGAGAGGAATGAGGCAGTTAAGGGTAAGGAGGAGGCAGAGAGGGAGAGGGAGGAGGCAGTTAAGGGAAAGGAGGAGGCAGAGAGGGAGAGGGAGGAGGCAGTTAGGGTAAAGAAAGAGGCGGAAACTGAGAGGGATGAGTCAGTAAAGGGTAAGGAGGAAGCGGAGAGGGAGAGGGATGAGGCTGTAAAGGGTAAAGAGGAGGCGGATTCAAGACGAGCAGAGGCTGAAAGCGCTCGTGAAGCGGCTGAGAAGAGGAGGGAGGAGGCAGAGGGTAGAAGAGAAGCTGCGGAGAGGGAGAAGGAGGAAGCGGAGCAGGCACGTGCAGAAGCAGAGGCACGGAGAGTCGAGGCTGAGAGGTCTCGTGCAGAGGCTGAGGGGATGAGAGAGGGGGCTGAGAGGGCGAAAGAGAAGGCTGAGAAGGAGAAAGTGGAAGCGGGTAAAGCGAGAGAAGAGGCGGAAAGGGAGAAGGAGCAGGCAGAGAAGAGAAGAGAGGAAGCTGAGAAGGCAAGGGAGGAAGAAGAGAAGCTGAGGGAGGGAGCAGAAAGGGCACGAGATGAGGCGGAGAAAGCCAAGGAGGAGGCGGAGAAAGCTAGAGAAGAGGCAGAGAAGGCCAAGAGCGAGGTAGAATCGAAGCTGGCAGTGGCAGAGACGAGCAGAGTGGCATCCGAGCAGGCGTGTGCTCACGCTGATGAGAGATCAGCTGAGGCTGAGAAGCAGCGAGTAGCAGCTGTGCAGGCTTGCTCCGATGCGAGGGTGCTAGCCGAGGAGGCAGAGAGAAGACGGGAAGGTGCTGAGATGAAGCAGACGGAAGAGGAAAAGAGGAGGAAGGAGGCAGAGGAGAGGAGGAGAGAAGCGGAAGGGAGAAGGGATGAGGCGGAGAGAGAGCGGGAGGAGGCTGTGAAAGTGAGAGAGGAGGCAGAGGCGAGGAGGGAAGCTGCTGACAAAGCCAAGGAGGAGGCTGAGGAGAGGCTACGTGAGGCAGAGAAAGCAAGGGCTGCTGCTGAGGAGGCGCGGGAGGAGAGCGAGAAGGCAAGGGAGGAGGCTGTGTCAAGGAAGAAAGAGGCCGAAAAGGCAAGGGAGGGGGCGGAGAAGGGAAGGGAGGAGGCACTACAGAGGGCGGCAGCGGCGGAGGAGAAGAGCGAGAAGGAGAGGAAGGCGAGGGAAGAAGCTGAGAGGGCGAGAGGGGATGCTGGGAGGGCGAGAGAGGAAGCTCACAGGGCGAGGGAAGAGGCGGAAAAGAGTACAGAGGAAGCAATCCAGGCGAGAGAGGATGCAGAGGCGCGACGTGAGGATGCAGAGAATGGTCGGATGGAAGCAGAGAGGAGGCAAGCAGAGGCGGAGAGGAAGCAAGCAGAGGCTGAGGCGGCGAGGGAAGAAGCAGTGGAAGCGAGGCAGCAGGCAGAGGTGGCGAGGGAGGGGGCTGAGAGGAAGCAAGCAGATGCAGAAACGAGACAAGCAGAGGCAGGGGTGGCGAAGGAGTCAGCAGAAGCAGCACGTGCAGAAGCGGAGGTGAGGAGGACTGAAGCTGAGAGCGATAGGGACGAGGCGTTAGCAGCTAGGGATAATGCATTGGCTGCCAGTGGTGAGGCATTGGCAGCAGAGGCTGCAGCAGCGGCGGCGAAGGAAGAGGGTGATAAAGCAAGGGAGGAAGCTGAGAGGGCCAGAGAGGAAGCTAAGAATGCGAAAGAAGAAGCTGACAAGGCAAGGGAGGAGGCTGAGGCGAGGCAAGGCGAGGCAGAGAAAAGAGCAGAGGAGGCAGAAGAACGGGCAAGGGAAGCAGAGGAAAGGGTCAAGCAGTCAGAGGAGAAGGCAAGGGAAGCAGAGATGGCGGAGAGAGAATCGAGGGAAGAGAGTGAGGTGGCGAATAGGGCACAGGAGGAAGCAGAGAGCACACGCGAGGCAGCGGAGCGAGGTAGAGAGGCAGCTGAGAGGGCGAAAGAGGAGGCTGAGAAGGCAAGGAGGGAGGCTGAGAAGGGGAAGGAGGAATCGGAGCAAGCACGCGCAGCAGCTGAAATGTTGACAAATGAGGCACTTAGAGCAAAGGAGGAGGCTGAGAGAGACAGAGACGAGGGTGAGAAGGCGAGGAAGGAGGCGGAGAGGGGCAGGCGAGAAGCAGAGAGAGCACAGGCGGAGGCGGAGAGGCAGAGAGACGAGGCGGAGAGGCGAATGGCTGGTGCTGGGATGAGCAAGGATGAGGCGGAGAGGGAGCGGGAGGAGGCGCATTGGGGCAGGGCGGAGGCGGAAAGGAGGATGGAGGAGGCGGAAAGCAGGAGGGAGGAGGCGGAGAGGAGGAGAGATGAGGCGGAGAGAGCATGGGAAGTTTCTGAGAAGGTGAGAGAAGAGGCTGTGAGAGAGAAGGAAGAGGTTGTTCAGGGGATGGTCGAAGCGGAGGAGAGGCGAGTGGAGGCAGGGAGGAGGCGAAGCGAGGCGGAAGAGAGGGAGAGGGAGGCGGAGAAGGCTTGGGAGGAGGCGGAGGTGGCTCGGGAAGAGGCTGAGAAGGCTCGGGAGGTTGCAGCTAAAGCTGCGGAAGAGGCTGAGCAGGCAAAGAGAGAGGCGCTTGAAGCTAAGGTAGGTGCGGAGGAGAGGAGGGCGGAGGCAGAGAGGTCTCAAGATGCTGCAGAGGCGAAGGCAGCTGAAATAGAGAAGGCGATGGAAGAGGCTGTGTGTGCGAAGGCAGATGAGGAGGAGAGGAGGGAGGAGGCAGAAAGAGCACGAGTTGCTGCAGAGGCGAAGGCAGGTGAACTAGAGAGGGCTTTGGAAGAGGCTGTGTGGGCAAAGGCAGAGGCGGAGGAGAAGAGGGTGGAGGCTGAAAGAGCACGAGATGCTGCAGAGGCGAAGGTGGAGGGACTAGAGAGGGCTGTGGCAGAGGCAGAGGCGGCGAGGAAGGTAGCAGAGGAGGAGAGGGATGAGGCGCTGAGGGGCGAGGACTGTGCAGTGGAGGAGCGGTATGAGCTGGTGCAGGCTCTTGAAAGGGCGGGTGAGGAGAGAGATGAGTTGACAAGGGCTGCTGAAGCAATGAAAGGGGAGAGGGATGAGGTGGTGCAGGCTCTGCAGAGGGTGACTGAGGAGAAGGGTGAGCTGGAGAGGGCTGTTGCAGCAGCGATATGGGAGAGGGATGAAGCGGTGAGGGCTGTTGAAGCAGCGATAGGGGAGAGGGATGAAGCGGTGAGGGCTGTTGAAGCAGCGATAGGGGAGAGGGATGAAGCGGTGAGGGCTGTTGAAGCAGCGAGAGGGGAGAGAGATGAAGCGGTGAGGGCTGTTGAAGCCGCGAGAGGGGAGAGAGATGAAGCGGTGAGGGCTGTTGAAGCAGTGAGAGGGGAGAGAGATGAAGCGGTGAGGGCTGTTGAAGCAGTGAGAGGGGAGAGGGATGAGCTGGTGCAGGCTCTTGAGAGGATGGGTGAGGAGAGGGATGATCTGATGAGGGCTGCTGCAGCAGTGAGAGGGGAGAAGGATGGGGTGGTGCAGGCGGTTGAGATGACGGGTGAGGAGAGGGATGAGATGACGAGGGCTGTTGCAGAGGCTGTTAGGGAGAGGGATGAAGCGGTGAAGGCTGTTGAAGAGGCTGTTACAGAGAGGGATGAAGCGATGAGGGCTGTTGAAGCAGCAAGAGAGGAGAGGGACAGGGCAGTCGAGGCTGTTGCGTTGGCAGTAGAAGAGAGGAACGAAGCAGTGAGGACTCTTGACAGGGTGACAGCGGAGAGGGACGAGGCGATGCTGGTGATTGATGAGGCTGTTGGGGTGCTTGGAGGGGCCGTTGGGGCGCGGGAGGCGCGAGGGCTGGTTGGAGAGAGAGTGGTGATTAGGGAGGGGGAGGCGATCAGGGAGAGAGAGGCGATTAGGGAGGGGGAGGCGATCAGGGAGAGAGAGGCGATTAGGGAGGGGGAGGCGATCAGGGAGAGAGAGGCGATTAGGGAGGGGGAGGCGATCAGGGAGAGAGAGGCGATTAGGGAGGGGGATGCGAGTGGCTTGGTTGAGGAGAGGGATGTGAGGGAGGAGAGCGATGTGAGGGAGGAGAGCGATGTGATTGGGGAGAGGGAGGAGGCTGGGGAGGGGGAAGCGATTGAGGGGAGGGAGATGAGAGAGACGGTGAACGCAGATGAAGCTGAAGCAGCAGGAGTGGATGGAGACAAGGTGACGACTTGTGTGGGGTGTTCAAGTAAGTGTGAAGGGTTGGTGGGTGGGAGAGGCGAGGTGGAAGGGAGGTGGCCGGACGCGGCTGCGGTTAAGGACGACGAGAAGTGGTGGAGGGCGGTGGAGATCGATAGGGAGGAAGCGGAGAGGCGGCGGGAAGAGGCGAAGGGAAGACTGGAGGAGCTGAAGGGGATTCTTGATGAGGTGAGGGGGAAGCAGGAGGAGTCTGAGCGGAAACTAGAGGAAGTCGAGAAACAACTGGTGGACATGGGGATTGAGAAGGCAGAGGCAGAGAGGACGAGAGAGGAGGCGGAAAGAGGGAGGGAGGAGGCGGAAAGAGGGAGGGAGGAGGCGGAACGAGGGAGGGAGGAGGCGGAAAGGAGGAGGGAAGAGGCGGAGGCAGGGAGAGATGAAGCTGAAAGGGCGAAGGTTGAGGCTTTGGTAAGGTTGGAAGAGGTGGAGATGGCACGAGCAGAGGTGGAGAGTGAGAAGGTTGAGGCAGAGGAGGGGAGAGTGAGTGCAGAGGAGCAGAGGGATGAGGCTGAGAGGAGGAGGGATGATTCTTTGAGGGAGAAGGAGGAAGTGGAGAGGGAAAGGGAGGAGGCGGAGAAAGCGAAAGCGGAGGCGGAGAAAGCAAAGGAGGAGGCGGGGAAAGCATGGAAGGGAGAGGAGTTGAGGAGAGACGAGGCAGAGAAGGCGCTAGAAGAGGCACTGGAGGCAGGTTTTGTGGTGGATGGGCGGACGGGGGAGACAGAGAGGAGGAGAGAGGAGGCAGAGCAGAGCAGAGAAGAGGCAGAGAAGATGAGAGAAGTGGCAGAGAAGGGAAGAGAGGAAGCAGAGAGGAGGAGAGAGGAGGCAGAGAGGAGGGGAGATGAGGCAGAGAGGGCACTAGAAGAGGCGCTAGAGGCAGTAGTGCAGGCAGAGGTTCGAAGGGAAGAGGCGGAGAGGGATAGAGATGAGGCAGAGAGGAGGAGGGAAGAGGCGGAGAGGAGAAAAGAAGAGGTTGAGAAGGATTTGACTGAGCTGGTGGTGAAGCTTGAGGTACTAGAGAAGGCAAAAGCAGAGGCGGAGGAGGGGGGTCAGGAAAAAAATGCATTGACAGGTGAAGATGCAGAAAAGGGGGAAGTGGATGGGAGGATTACAGAGGGGGAGAGGGAGAGGGAGCGGGTGGAACGGGAGGTGGAAGAGTTGACAGTGCAGATAGAGGTACTAGAGAGAGAGAAGGAGGAGGGTGAACGGGAGAAGGAGAGAGCTGAGAAGGAGAAGGAAGAGGCATTGAGAGAAAGGGAGGAGGTTGTGAGACGGCTTGAGGAGATGCTGGAAGAGGTGAGAAGGGAAAGGGAGGAGGCTGAACAAGAGAAGGAGGAAGCTTACAAAAGGGCAGAAGATGCTGGAGTACGAGCTGAGGAGGCTGGTAAGGCGAGTGAGGAAGCAGCGAGGCGAGTGAGAGAGGCAGAAGCAGGAAGAGAAGAGGCGGAGAGGAGGAGAGAAGTAGCAGAGGGGGCACTGTCGCTAGCAGAGGTGGTATTGCAGGAGGCGGAGGTGTGGAGAGAAGAGGCAGGGAGGCGTTGGGGAGAAGCAGAGGGGGCAGTGTTGATGGTCGAGGTGGTATTGCAGGAGACAGAGGCGTGGAGAGAGGCGGCAGAGAGGAAGTTGGCTGAAGGAGAGGGTTTATGGAAAGAAGCTGCGCGTGCGAGAGAGGAGGCAGAGAGGAGGAGAGAAGAAGCAGAGGGGGCACTGTCGCTAGCAGAGGTGGTATTGCAGGAGGCAGAGGTGTGGAGAGAAGATGCGGTGAGGAGATTAGAAGAGGGAGAGGCGTTGAGGAAGGAGGCTGAGCGGGCGAGAGAGGAGGCTGAGAAGAGGAGGGAAGAAGCAGAGGCGGCTGTGGGGGTAGCAGAGGCAGCGAGGGATGAGATGGAGCGGGCGAAAGAGGAGGCTGAGGCTAGCTGGGAAGAGGCGCTGGGAATGCTGGGAGAGGCTGAGAGAGGGAGAGAGGAGGCGGAGAGGAGAAGAGAGGAGGCGGAGAGGGGGAGAGAGGAGGCGGAAAGACGAGGAGAGGGGGCAGAGAGTGAAGGAGAGGAGGCAGAAGGTAAGGAACGAGGGGAGGCTGCAACGCACAGTTGTGAAGAGGGTGTGGTGATTGTGTCAGAAGCTGATGAACAACCTGTAGAGACGAGAGGGGCTGGCGAGGAAATGGAGGGAGAGATTGGGGAAGAGGAAACGGAAAATGGTGGTGTGCAGGGAGAGGAGGGAGGAGAGGCAGTGGAGGGCGTTTTAAAATGCGCGCCAAGGGTGGGTAAGGGATGGGGTGGAGGTGAGGGGGATGGGGAGAGCAGTGGGGGGGAGGAGGAGGATAAGGGCTGCAGCCGGGAGGAGAAGCGTCGGGAGAGCAGTGGGGAGGAGGAGCAGGTGAAGGGAGTGATTTGCCACTGCACTCAGAAAGAGGTGCTTCCTGAGGGTGCTGTGTCCGAGGTGCCACGCCGAGGGTGGCCGAATCCTGACAGCAGTGGTGGGGAGACAAGTGTAGCTGGCATGAGCTTGTTGGAAAGGGGGGAGTTGGAGAGGGAGAGGGATGAGCTAAGAGTGCGGTGGGAGGCGGCAGAGGAGAGACGGAGGGAGCTGGAAGCGATTGTGAGTAAAACGGGTGTGCAGTTAGAGAGGGCGAATGGGGTGGAGGAGGCAGAGAGGGGGAGGGAGGAGGTGGTGAAGGAGAGAGACGAGGCAGTGCATGTGATGCATGAGGCAGTGAGAGAAAAGGATGAGGCTCTGGAAGCCAGGGACGAGGCGTTTAAGGCGAGGGATGAAGCTGAGAAGGCGAAGCGAGAGGCAGAAGCGAAGGTTGAGGAGGCGGAGAAGGAGAGGGATGAGGCATGTGAAGCAAGGGATGAAGCAGTGCGAGCGTGGGAGGGTGTGGAGGAGGCAAGGAGAGAGGCGGAGGCGGCGAGGGATGAAGCGTTGGAATCAAGAGAGGGGATTCAGAAGTTATGGGATGATGCTGAGGAGGCGAGGAGAGCGACGGAGGCATGGCTTGAAGAGTTTAAGCAGGCTTTGGAGGCAGCTGAAATGGCAAGGCAAGAGGCTGAGATGGCTAAGGACGTGGCAGAGGCAGCGAGAGAGGAGGCTGAGGCAGCTTGGAAGGAGGCAATGGAGAAAGCAGCAGATGCGGAGGAGAGGAGTGAGGAGGAGAGGAAGGTGAGAGAAGAAGCAGAGAGGGCGAGGGAAGAAGCAGAGAAGGCAAGGGAGGAAGCAGAAAGGATGAGAGGGGAGGCTGAGAAGGGGAGGGAGGAGGCGGTAGCGCAACAAGCCATGCCGTGCAGTGCATGTGCGGAAAAAGACGAGGCGATGCAATCCATTCTCAATGAGCTTGTCGCTGCCCAGGCTGCCTCCGAAGCTGCCATAGCCTCGGCGGCTGCCAACGCTGCTGAGGAGGTCCGGGCAGAGCTTCAGATGGCACAGGAAGGATGGGAGAAGCGGCTGAGTGAAGTGGAAGGGGAGTTGGAGCGTGTGAAAGGGGAAGGAGAGAAGCTTGAGAAGAGAGTGAAGGAAGCAGAGGAGGAGGGTGTGAGATTGCGAGAGGAGGTGGAGGGAGAGAGGAAGGGGAGGGAGGAGGAGAGAGCTGCCAAGGAGGAAGAGAAGAGAGCAAAGGAAGAGGAGAGGAGGGAAAAGGAGGCGGAGAGGGAGAGGAGGGAGCAGGCGGAGGCAGGGAGGAGGGTAGCGGAGGAGGAGGCACAGCTGACTAGGGAGGACTTGGAGGTGATGCGAGAGGCAAAGAGGGAGACCGTGCGCAACCTCACAGACTCCTTCCTGGCGGCGGAGGAGCAGCGGAAGCGGCTGCTGTTTCTGCTTCGCAAGGCACAAGTCATTGAAGGTGAGGGATTGGTGCGCGTGTGTGTGTGTGTCGTTCTCTAGAATTCTCAAAATGGCCCGCAACAAAGAGGGAGACGGAGCGCAACCTCACAGACTCCTTCCTGGCCGTGTTGTTTTCTTCGTGTCCCAAAAACAACTCGCACAGGCCATTGAAGGTGAGAGACTGGTGTGTATTGCAAATGCTGGGTTGGTTGAAGTCAAAATGGTGGGCTGCAAATCGTTTGCCAGTCAGGGGATGGTGATAAAACTAGTGAAGGGCTGGATGGGGATGGTGAGCGAGCCTGCGGCAAGCAATCATTGTTTTGCTCCTTCCCCTGTTGTGTTACGTCCATCATGCAGGTCTCTAGCACCCCCGACATGTGTACAGGCATGACATACCGTAGGTCATCCTTATAAGGTCACCGAGGAGGAGATAAATTTGCAGGGATTGCTGCTATGCTATGGATAGTGGTGACAACACAACTCTGTTGATATAGGTCCATAATTTTTATGTCTCCCGCGTCGGTGTATGGGATGCAGCCTTTTCTGTTCTTCAAACAAAATTATTACCTCTGTAGCTTTGCGACACCTCTGAATGTTTTTTTTTTTATGAGGCTTTGCAATCCAGTTAATGCCGTCAGTGTATACGAATCAGTCACAGGCTTTGAGAAGAGGACCAATTATTGTTGACTGACTAGTTGATATAAATCAGCTTACCTCCTACCTTATTTTCTACAGATTTTCAGGATAGTAATCAAATCGCATTCTTGCTACATAATGGGTGTCAAGTGAGGCGAAATAGTTGGAGTCGAATTCGCTGCTCTAAGGGGAACCGATCTGAACCGTTTGAGCGCGAACCGTCTGTTAGCGCGGGGAACCTTATGGAACCGCACTAGGTAAACGAAAGACGATTTGTCCGTTGAGACCAGCATTCACGCACCGCTGAAGTAGCCACACTCTAGGCGCGCAGGAATCGCCGCAAGCATGGTGGAGCGCGCAGCCTACCAGCGGTCGCGCAACGCTTCGCAACAGCGGCGGACGTCGCAGCAGCAGCAAGGCCAGTCGCATAGCCAGGTCGCGCAGCCGTCGCAGCAGCCGCAGTCGCAGCAACAAGAGCAGGCGCACGGGCACAATGTGAGCACCGTTGCTCAACCGCCAAACGCGCAGGCGCAAGCGCAGCCGGCGCAACCCGCGCAGCAAAGGGCTCATCATCGCGTGCTTCCACCGCAGCCGCGGCAACCGGCGCAGCAGAAGCGGCAGCAGTTGCGCCAGACCGCGGCGCAACGGCGCACGGCGCAAGCGCAGGCCGCGCGGCAAACTGGGGGGGATACGGGGAAGGCGCAACCTGGCCAGGGGGATACGGGGAAGCCGCCGCAGGGTCAGGGGGGCCATGGGAAGGCGCAACTGGGCGGGGGCGCGAATCCGCCAGTGCACGCCCCGCTTCCGCCCCTGCCGCGGAAGCAGCAGTCGCGGGTGCAAGCGCAGGGGGAGCAGCAGGGGGAAGCGCAGGCGGAGCAGCAAGGGGGGCATCAGGCGGGGCAGCAGGGGGTACAGCATAGGGGGCAGCAGGGGGGGCAAGCGAATAGGTTACAACAAGAACCATCACAGCAGCAACCAGAACAGCAGCACCAGCAGCAGCAGCAGCAGCAGCATGGTTCCGCCGGGCAGGATGGAACACACGGGCAGGCGTCCGGGCAGGCGTCCGGGCAGACGAAAGGGCACCTTCAAACAGACGGCCAGGAGCCAGGGGGGCAAACCCAAGGCCACGGGCAGGGAAGCGGGCAGGCTTCCGGGCAGGTTCCCGGGCAGGTTTCGGAGCAGCTGCCAATGCACGAAGGCCACGTGGAGCATGCTATTCTGCCCGAGCGGCCGGATTGGCTGGATGATTACGAGATAGTGGGGAAGATAGGCGAGGGGACGTACGGGCTGGTGTATCTGGCGAAGGACCGGCGCAAGGGCAAGGGGTCGGGGCGGTCGGCTCTTAAGAAGTTCAAACAGACCAAGGAGGGCGATGGCGTGTCCCCCACTGCCATTCGCGAGATCATGGTGAGAGGGGGGAGGGGGGAGGGGGGAAAAAGAAGAAGGCGAGGGGTAGGGGGAGGGGAGGGAGAGGGGATCAAGGGAGGGGGAGGGCAAGGGGGAGGGAGAGAGGGAGAGGGTGAGGGCAAGGGGTCGGGGAGGTGGGCTGGGGTGAAGAAGGCAACGTGCAACGTGCACATCCGCTACCACACATGCCATTCCATGCCACCCTGTTGCTCCCTTGCTTTCTCGTTCTCGTTTTCTTTTCCTGCCTGACTCTTCCTTCCTCCACCAGCTACAACAAGAGTGCGAGCACGAGAACACAGTGCAGCTGCTGAACACAATGAGTTATCACACAAGCCACCCTCTTTCTGTCTTGCTGTCTTGCTCGCTTGTTCCGCCCCCTCACCAGCTACTACAGGAGTGCGAGCACGAGAACATAGTGCAGCTGCTCAACGTGCACATCAACCACCCCCTTGCTCCCTCTCTCCCCGTCCCCTGCCTGCCTCTCTCATCTCCCTCCACCCCCCCCTCAACACAACAGCTACTACAGGAGTGCGAGCACGAGAACATAGTGCAGCTGCTCAACGTGCACATCAACCACACCGACATGTCGCTCTTTCTTGCCTTTGACTACGCCGAGCATGACCTCTATGTGAGCATGACCTCTATGTGAGCATGACCTCTATGTGAGCATGACCTCTATGTGAGCATGACCTCTATGTGAGCCCGAACCTAAGCAATCAGTCTTGGCTCTGAAAGGTAACTACATTTTAGCACGGCTCTATGAGACTAAGCATCTTGGGTATTCGCGCATGTGCATGTGCAGCACCCCCATGCAAAATCACAGGACACACCATCCACTTCCACCACAAGCATCTGAAGCGCCCTCTCTCCGAGTGAGCCCTAACCTAATCAGTGCCTTCTTCACATGCCTTCCCTTCCCCCCATACCATCCCCCCACGCCCTCCTCATACATGTTGCCATGCCATGCGCGCGCAAACAGGAGATCATCCGTTTCCACCGCGAGCACCTGAAGCGCCCTCTCTCTGTTGGTACTATGACGAGAGGAGATCACACGCCAACCAACCACACAGCATATGAGCGACCCCTGAGAATCCTCGAAAACACCTTCCCCCCATGCACGCCCCTCAGGAGATCATCCGCTTCCACCGCGAGCACCTGAAGCGCCCTCTCTGTGTGTGTGAGCGTTAACCTATTCAGTGCCATCTTCACATGCATTCCCCCATACCTTCCCCCCACACCACGCCATGCCATGCCATGTGCGCGCAAACAGGAGATCATCCGGTTCCATCGAGAGCATCTGAAGCGCCCTCTCTCGGAGTACACGGTGAAGTCGCTGCTCTGGCAGCTGCTGAATGGACTGCACTACCTGCACAGGTGGGTAGGAGAATAGGTGGGTGTATGGGTGGGGCAAGGCAAGCACGTGTCAAGTGCATGTCATGCACTCACTGCGAGCACTTGAGGTGCCCCTCCTTTGAGTACACAGTGAAGTCGCTGCTGTGGCAGCTGCTCAACGGCCTGCACTACCTGCACTACCTGCACTACCTGCACTACCTGCACTACCTGCACTACCTGCACAGGTGGGCGTGTAGGTGAATGGGAGTGCGGGTGTGTGGCAGTCAGCAGTTGCCAACTTGCCAGTTCGATGCAGTACCAGCAACTATGGGGTGGTGGAGTGAACAAGGGGTGTCCACATGTGGTGTCTATAGGTGCTACCTGCCTACTCTGCACAGTTCGGCCATGCATGGTGATCTCGTTCCTGCAGCTGTGCTGCTCTCATGTATTCCTCTCACTTGTTGTGCTTCCCATTGCTTCCCGTCTTCTGCGTGACACAGCAATTGGATCATTCATCGAGATCTCAAGCCCTCCAACATCCTTGTAAGCTAAGCTGGCCAGCTGTTAGGCCGTCTAGAGAAACAGTGTGGCTGGCACATGGGGGGCCCACGCTGTTTTTGGGTTGACTTTTGAGTCGACTCAAAAGTCAACAAGGGACCTCACCAGTGTGGCTGGCACATGGGGGGCCCACGCTGTTTTTGGGTTGACTTTTGAGTCGACTCAAAAGTCAACAAGGGACCTCACCAGTGTGGCTGGCACATGGGGGGCCCACGCTGTTTTTGGGTTGACTTTTGAGTCGACTCAAAAGTCAACAAGGGACCTCACCAGTGTGGCTGGCACATGGGGGGCCCACGCTGTTTTTGGGTTGACTTTTGAGTTGACTCAAAAGTCAACAAGGGACCTCACCAGTGTGGCTGGCACATGGGGGGCCCACGCTGTTTTTGGGTTGACTTTTGAGTCGACTCAAAAGTCAACAAGGGACCTCACCAGTGTGGCTGGCACATGGGGGGCCCACGCTGTTTTTGGGTTGACTTTTGAGTCGACTCAAAAGTCAACAAGGGACCTCACCAGTGTGGCTGGCACATGGGGGGCCCACGCTGTTTTTGGGTTGACTTTTGAGTCGACTCAAAAGTCAACAAGGGACCTCACCAGTGTGGCTGGCACATGGGGGGCCCACGCTGTTTTTGGGTTGACTTTTGAGTCGACTCAAAAGTCAACAAGGGACCTCACCAGTGTGGCTGGCACATGGGGGGCCCACGCTGTTTTTGGGTTGACTTTTGAGTCGACTCAAAAGTCAACAAGGGACCTCACCAGTGTGGCTGGCACATGGGGGGCCCACGCTGTTTTTGGGTTGACTTTTGAGTCGACTCAAAAGTCAACAAGGGACCTCACCAGTGTGGCTGGCACATGGGGGGCCCACGCTGTTTTTGGGTTGACTTTTGAGTCGACTCAAAAGTCAACAAGGGACCTCACCAGTGTGGCTGGCACATGGGGGGCCCACGCTGTTTTTGGGTTGACTTTTGAGTCGACTCAAAAGTCAACAAGGGACCTCACCAGTGTGGCTGGCACATGGGGGGCCCACGCTGTTTTTGGGTTGACTTTTGAGTCGACTCAAAAGTCAACAAGGGACCTCACCAGTGTGGCTGGCACATGGGGGGCCCACGCTGTTTTTGGGTTGACTTTTGAGTCGACTCAAAAGTCAACAAGGGACCTCACCAGTGTGGCTGGCACATGGGGGGCCCACGCTGTTTTTGGGTTGACTTTTGAGTCGACTCAAAAGTCAACAAGGGACCTCACCAGTGTGGCTGGCACATGGGGGGCCCACGCTGTTTTTGGGTTGAGTTTTGAGTCGACTCAAAAGTCAACAAGGGACCTCACCAGTGTGGCTGGCACATGGGGGGCCCACGCTGTTTTTGGGTTGACTTTTGAGTCGACTCAAAAGTCAACAAGGGACCTCACCAGTGTGGCTGGCACATGGGGGGCCCACGCTGTTTTTGGGTTGACTTTTGAGTCGACTCAAAAGTCAACAAGGGACCTCACCAGTGTGGCTGGCACATGGGGGGCCCACGCTGTTTTTGGGTTGAGTTTTGAGTCGACTCAAAAGTCAACAAGGGACCTCACCAGTGTGGCTGGCACATGGGGGGCCCACGCTGTTTTTGGGTTGACTTTTGAGTCGACTCAAAAGTCAACAAGGGACCTCACCAGTGTGGCTGGCACATGGGGGGCCCACGCTGTTTTTGGGTTGACTTTTGAGTCGACTCAAAAGTCAACAAGGGACCTCACCAGTGTGGCTGGCACATGGGGGGCCCACGCTGTTTTTGGGTTGACTTTTGAGTCGACTCAAAAGTCAACAAGGGACCTCACCAGTGTGGCTGGCACATGGGGGGCCCACGCTGTTTTTGGGTTGACTTTTGAGTCGACTCAAAAGTCAACAAGGGACCTCACCAGTGTGGCTGGCACATGGGGGGCCCACGCTGTTTTTGGGTTGACTTTTGAGTCGACTCAAAAGTCAACAAGGGACCTCACCAGTGTGGCTGGCACATGGGGGGCCCACGCTGTTTTTGGGTTGACTTTTGAGTCGACTCAAAAGTCAACAAGGGACCTCACCAGTGTGGCTGGCACATGGGGGGCCCACGCTGTTTTTGGGTTGACTTTTGAGTCGACTCAAAAGTCAACAAGGGACCTCACCAGTGTGGCTGGCACATGGGGGGCCCACGCTGTTTTTGGGTTGACTTTTGAGTCGACTCAAAAGTCAACAAGGGACCTCACCAGTGTGGCTGGCACATGGGGGGCCCACGCTGTTTTTGGGTTGACTTTTGAGTCGACTCAAAAGTCAACAAGGGACCTCACCAGTGTGGCTGGCACATGGGGGGCCCACGCTGTTTTTGGGTTGACTTTTGAGTCGACTCAAAAGTCAACAAGGGACCTCACCAGTGTGGCTGGCACATGGGGGGCCCACGCTGTTTTTGGGTTGACTTTTGAGTCGACTCAAAAGTCAACAAGGGACCTCACCAGTGTGGCTGGCACATGGGGGGCCCACGCTGTTTTTGAGTTGACTTTTGAGTCGACTCAAAAGTCAACAAGGGACCTCACCAGTGTGGCTGGCACATGGGGGGCCCACGCTGTTTTTGGGTTGACTTTTGAGTCGACTCAAAAGTCAACAAGGGACCTCACCAGTGTGGCTGGCACATGGGGGGCCCACGCTGTTTTTGGGTTGACTTTTGAGTCGACTCAAAAGTCAACAAGGGACCTCACCAGTGTGGCTGGCACATGGGGGGCCCACGCTGTTTTTGGGTTGACTTTTGAGTCGACTCAAAAGTCAACAAGGGACCTCACCAGTGTGGCTGGCACATGGGGGGCCCACGCTGTTTTTGGGTTGACTTTTGAGTCGACTCAAAAGTCAACAAGGGACCTCACCAGTGTGGCTGGCACATGGGGGGCCCACGCTGTTTTTGGGTTGACTTTTGAGTCGACTCAAAAGTCAACAAGGGACCTCACCAGTGTGGCTGGCACATGGGGGGCCCACGCTGTTTTTGGGTTGACTTTTGAGTCGACTCAAAAGTCAACAAGGGACCTCACCAGTGTGGCTGGCACATGGGGGGCCCACGCTGTTTTTGGGTTGACTTTTGAGTCGACTCAAAAGTCAACAAGGGACCTCACCAGTGTGGCTGGCACATGGGGGGCCCACGCTGTTTTTGGGTTGACTTTTGAGTCGACTCAAAAGTCAACAAGGGACCTCACCAGTGTGGCTGGCACATGGGGGGCCCACGCTGTTTTTGGGTTGACTTTTGAGTCGACTCAAAAGTCAACAAGGGACCTCACCAGTGTGGCTGGCACATGGGGGGCCCACGCTGTTTTTGGGTTGACTTTTGAGTCGACTCAAAAGTCAACAAGGGACCTCACCAGTGTGGCTGGCACATGGGGGGCCCACGCTGTTTTTGGGTTGACTTTTGAGTCGACTCAAAAGTCAACAAGGGACCTCACCAGTGTGGCTGGCACATGGGGGGCCCACGCTGTTTTTGGGTTGACTTTTGAGTCGACTCAAAAGTCAACAAGGGACCTCACCAGTGTGGCTGGCACATGGGGGGCCCACGCTGTTTTTGGGTTGACTTTTGAGTCGACTCAAAAGTCAACAAGGGACCTCACCAGTGTGGCTGGCACATGGGGGGCCCACGCTGTTTTTGGGTTGACTTTTGAGTCGACTCAAAAGTCAACAAGGGACCTCACCAGTGTGGCTGGCACATGGGGGGCCCACGCTGTTTTTGGGTTGACTTTTGAGTCGACTCAAAAGTCAACAAGGGACCTCACCAGTGTGGCTGGCACATGGGGGGCCCACGCTGTTTTTGGGTTGACTTTTGAGTCGACTCAAAAGTCAACAAGGGACCTCACCAGTGTGGCTGGCACATGGGGGGCCCACGCTGTTTTTGGGTTGACTTTTGAGTCGACTCAAAAGTCAACAAGGGACCTCACCAGTGTGGCTGGCACATGGGGGGCCCACGCTGTTTTTGGGTTGACTTTTGAGTCGACTCAAAAGTCAACAAGGGACCTCACCAGTGTGGCTGGCACATGGGGGGCCCACGCTGTTTTTGGGTTGACTTTTGAGTCGACTCAAAAGTCAACAAGGGACCTCACCAGTGTGGCTGGCACATGGGGGGCCCACGCTGTTTTTGGGTTGACTTTTGAGTCGACTCAAAAGTCAACAAGGGACCTCACCAGTGTGGCTGGCACATGGGGGGCCCACGCTGTTTTTGGGTTGACTTTTGAGTCGACTCAAAAGTCAACAAGGGACCTCACCAGTGTGGCTGGCACATGGGGGGCCCACGCTGTTTTTGGGTTGACTTTTGAGTCGACTCAAAAGTCAACAAGGGACCTCACCAGTGTGGCTGGCACATGGGGGGCCCACGCTGTTTTTGGGTTGACTTTTGAGTCGACTCAAAAGTCAACAAGGGACCTCACCAGTGTGGCTGGCACATGGGGGGCCCACGCTGTTTTTGGGTTGACTTTTGAGTCGACTCAAAAGTCAACAAGGGACCTCACCAGTGTGGCTGGCACATGGGGGGCCCACGCTGTTTTTGGGTTGACTTTTGAGTCGACTCAAAAGTCAACAAGGGACCTCACCAGTGTGGCTGGCACATGGGGGGCCCACGCTATTTTTGGGTTGACTTTTGAGTCGACTCAAAAGTCAACAAGGGACCTCACCAGTGTGGCTGGCACATGGGGGGCCCACGCTATTTTTGGGTTGACTTTTGAGTCGACTCAAAAGTCCACAAGGGACCTCACCAGTGTGGCTGGCACATGGGGGGCCCACGCTGTTCTTGGGTTGACTTTTGAGTCGACTCAAAAGTCAACAAGGGACCTCACCAGTGTGGCTGGCACATGGGGGGCCCACGCTGTTTTTGGGTTGACTTTTGAGTCGACTCAAAAGTCAACAAGGGACCTCACCAGTGTGGCTGGCACATGGGGGGCCCACGCTGTTTTTGGGTTGACTTTTGAGTCGACTCAAAAGTCAACAAGGGACCTCACCAGTGTGGCTGGCACATGGG